ACCAATGGTTTTATATCTTAACACAGAGCAAAACATTAAAGTAGGCAAGTTTTTTGTGGCTCTGTAAGAAATATTTCACGTAGCAGTTCTCCTGGTTTTACTGTATGTGTAGAAATGTGCTGTCTACGCTCGCCTAAGATGTTGCAATACTCTAATATGCCAGATTATTTTTTCTTTAAACTGCTGCTCAAAATCCCTCCTTCATACTCTCTCTGGAGCAGAACCAGCCCCAAGACCTTTGGGCCACGACCTTTAATAATAATTCCCCCCAAATCTCTTCTCCTATTTTAGGACTAAGGGGTTCCTCACTCATGGCTCTGCATCATTTGCCATTATCTACAGAGGCTAAAATGCCAAAGATGGCCTTCAGCCTTCAGCTCTGCCCCTCTGAATGGGGTGTTACAGGATGTCTCATTCAGCATTTGCAGTCACAAGAGAGGGGAGGTTCTTTTGTTCAGAGCAGGGAATATCCTCCACAGCTGCAGAGCACAGGAGGCCCAGTGAACTTCCTAAGGCCAGCAGCTGTGGAAGGAAAATTTGGCGGGATTGGTCCATTATTGTTTATGTACATAAGGCCTTAAAATCAGCGTCAGGAAATCATGCACATGCAGAAAGACTCACGGTCTTATTTTTCATATGTAGCTATGCAACTGTAAAATAGTTAAGCCTTACTTTGATGTTATGCTCAACATTGTTAGTATCAATAAAAAATTACGCTGGCTTTTCCAGTCAAGTCATATTTAAATAAAAACTCAGACCTGCCACCACTTCCCTTTTCAACCAGTCCACCAGTGCAGAAATCATGACTTGAAAAAGTTGTCACAAACATGAAGTCAAACTAAGCTGACATCTCTTCTTTCATACTGTGATCTGTACGAAGTTAGGAACATTCAGTTTTTACCCCATGACTTAAACACCAACTACTGAACCATCCCAAAATACCCAGCAGCACAGCTGACTGCCCAACCCTATTGCAAAAGTTCATCTTTTAGAAGCTTCATAGGAGACCTACATGAAGACAATGAAATCTAACCTGGTGGTCTGCACTACACTTTTTTTAATACTTCTGCCTGTGTCATTATGCATGATGCTGAAGATGGGGAGATTTTCTGCCAAATTGCTTGAGTCTTCATGTAAACTCTATGCTAATTCATATTATTTTGGCACCCTGATTTCAATTCCTGTAATATGGAGGTAACTCTTGCCTAAGTTCACATAGGTGTGTGTTTAGCTCATGACCCTCTGATACTCTTGGATACTAATTCAGAACATCATTAACAATACATGTAACACCAGCAAGGGCTGGGAAGACATTTTTGCCAACACATTCAGGCAGACACTAGTCACAATTTTTCTATTTTCTTCCAGTTTCAGTCTGAGGTGAAGTGGCAAAGACTGATCCTCCAAATCTAATGTTCTGCGAAGCAGCAGCAGATTCAACACTCCCTACTTCACACCCTGCAGAGCAAGCCAAACCCTAAGAAACAGCCTTGCTCAGTGGCTGAACAACAGAGGCAGAAACAGATCCATCCAGCAAGGAGAGTCAAAGAAGGAGTCAGAAAGCCAAAGCCACCAGCTTCCTCCTGCTGGCTTTGCAAGTAAGGAAGGAGCCCTGAACAATGGAGGCAGCAGAACAGCATTACTCTGGGATCATTTAGTTTAGTTCCCAAATGGCTGCTAACAGATTCCTCTAAGAAAAATTTGCTCTGCATCGCTGCTGCCTCATCACTCTGCAACTACAAACCCCAGGCTCAGTTTGGCAAACTGCTTCATCTACCCAGGCTAAGATCCAGACATCAATGGGCCCTCTTGGGAGGCCCAAACTCCACTGGCTCCCCAGTGTTTTGGACCCATCCCTAGAACTAGTAATTATTCCTTTGACAGCACTTGCCTGCCAGAGAACATCTCCCAGCCCACTCCTATGGGGTCAAGAAATAAATGCAGTTGAAAAAAGGGTTGCTACAGAATGGGTCAACTGACAAGTAGAAAACTATCAAAGACCACTTGGTAAGCCCAGGAACAGAGGATTGTGAGGCAGGAGAGGACACGGAAGGAAAGAATACTGAAAGGAAGAGATCATGGAAAGGGACAGCAAATTTTGAGAACAAGAGCATAAAGGGAATGGTATGACATGGTGGCCCCCAACCCATGGCTTGAAGGCAACCCGTAGTAATGTTCCTTGTGAGACAGGAAATGAAAATGTTCTGAGAATGGTGTGGAAAACAAAGTACGATGTTGCCAACAGTGTGATAACTGTGCAGTGTTGTTGACAATAAATCAACACAGACTGGGGAGCGCAGCTCTTTGCCCCCCTTAACTAGAAGTTAAAATTACTCTACCTGTATCCTCTCCAATTTTATTTTTGTTGTTGTTGTAGTGGCAGCATCTCTGGTTAGAGGAACTTGGCTCTAGAGCTGGCCAGCTCTAGCTGGGCACAGCATGTGTAGGCACACCCTGCAGACAAGCTAAAGCAGCCATGGCCCACTTCCCTACAGACAAGTGGATGCCACACCAAATGCCCAGCACTGCCTGGGGTTGAACTGGCCTCTGATTCTTAGCGCTGCTGCTTTTGGTGCTCTTGCCAATGAGATGGTGACAGACACGTGGAGAGATGGTCACTGCTGCTTTCTGGACTGATCCTGTTTCTGAGGGTATGACCTTAACTTCCAAAAGTGCAACTCTGCCACACTTGACAAGTAACCAATACATCACCAAAAAAACTAAAGATTCCTGCTGGAGATCAGAAGGAGGAAAAGACCCTCCTGTAAGAATCAGAAGATAATGAAATTTCTTCATTTCTAACCAAATAAACACTGGAATGTGTATTTTCTTGCCCCCATTTCATGTACATGGTGATTTTGAAACATTTCTGTTTATTTTATAATATGCAGCAAAATGGATGTTCCTTACACACTGAAATAAACAACCTTTTTTTCTCCCTGCCATACAGACACACACACAAACACAAGATTCTACACACAAGAAATTTCCTTCCACATCCTTCCTTTGTGCATGTGAACTCCTCTGGGGCTGACAGCTCCCAGCAGAGCCAATGGAACACTTGCCATTGCTTTCAGTCAGAATATGATTGTGCCCCTTTCTTGTAGCAGGCAGAGTTAATTGAAGAGAGTTGAAGATGTATTGTAGGAGACAGGAGTAAATCAAATTATATGAAAACATTCCCACGGTTTTGATTTACTTCACAGAAAGAAGCAAAATATTAGACATCTTATATTACTTCACATTTGCCTAGAGGGCAAATGTGAGGTAAACGCTAGGAAAATTCTAAAAATGTAGCAATAAGCCCCTTCTACTAAGTTCTGTATGAAAAATGCCTTACTGAGAATACAATGTTATTCTAAGATGCTGAACAGGAGTCTCTAAACCCGTTTCAGAAGGCAATAGATTCCATTGGTTTAGATGGGATATTCCTTTGCAAATCTGAGACTGTAAACTAGTAAAAATTGTAAACAGAAGGGCTCTCGAAGCATTAAACTGGGCAAGTTTGTAGTGCTGCTGACATCTACTGAGAGAAAGCCAAATTGCACATCTTAGAAAGGGATGAGCCTACCTTGGCCCTTATTTGTTGTTTCCTTTTGTGTTTTCAGCCACGGTTGCATATTTAATAATTATATTGTATCAACACTCCATTTAAGTTTAGTGAGTCAACAGAGGTGTTACAGGAAGCGTTAAGGAGGAAATAAAAGGGACTTTCAGAAGATGCATCCCTTATATAAATGCTGCAGACTTGTCCTTATAGTTTCAACAGTCTGAAGACCTAGACTGACACACAGCATCAGGTATAACAGGATGCAGTTCTAGTTCATACTGACTGCACATAAAGCCCTCAAATTGTGGCAGCTGAAGCCAAAACCCACATAGTACAAAATACTGGATTTAAGAAACCATGCTGCACAAGTAATATTGAAAATGTATGTATCATTTGTTTCCTACTGGAAAAGGATAATACAGCTAAGCTATGGTAGGAGTAAAAATATCACCACTACAAGAACTGAACTCAAAAAACCAAGTCAGAAACACTATTTGCTCTGTGTCTTTTGTCAGGATGACATATGGTAGTTACACTATTCAGGCAATTCAAGAAAAATTTTTGCTGGTATCTTGTGCATTATAAAGTGTATTCTTTCCCCATGCTGAACAGAGAAGAATTCATAGCCATCCTCACAGCCACAGAACAATGACCATTACTACAGGTCTCATGTCTAGGGATTTCATTCTACAACAGGAAAGGTGTGTCTATCTCAGTTTGGGTAATACTAAAACTAGTGGGGGTGTGGGGGGAGAAACAACATAAAATTCTAAGAGTTGGAGCAAGTCAAGGAGACAATGATTGAGTGAGTGTGTGTTTCTCCACTTCTGGGGCAAATTTCTCATCCCTGATGTTACACTGAATTTACAGGATTACAACTAAAAAGTAATTTGCCAATAAATATTTGTAACATAGGGCAACACTATCTATAAAGGAGCTTAATTAATTTTCTTTTGTAATAAGAGAAAGATCTGCAGCCAAAATTAAATATTTCATTACAAGATTGATCTGTGAATAAACTGTTACGAAATGCCCCTCTGACCTTGACAGGACCAGGATTTCAGTGTCTGGGAGGGCTTTTCATTATTGTTTTCTGCAGATTCTGAAGCAGATGTAAACATGAGATTTTTGGCTCATGTATCTGTTGTATAAAATATCCCCAGCAGTAATTTTTGGTCACAAAGGACTAAACTCCAACTTTTTTAGGAGAGTAGATGCAGTGGATAAAGCTGATACACACTTAGTTCCCATTTAAGCTCTGCTTTGAAAATCACACACAGATTAAAAAGTGCAGCACAGGGCTGGAAACCCTCTCCTGATTGTTCTCTAACTGAAGGTACCTCATTTCCATCTATGTCCCAGTCATCACCTTGAATTTTTCTTGGTACCTAAAGCTTGGCTTCTACAGAAATGCCATGATCTTGGGAGGACTGTACAATTCAGCACTTACTTCTCTCCCCGAGGTCCCTCAGGATTCCCGCAGCTGTCTCTCGTGTCTGATCCAGTGCAATTCTCACTGCTCACACTGGAAAAGTAGTGGCAGCCTTGTCTGTCCTCCTGCAGTAGGAAAACATGGGTTAGACAGTTTCTCCACCATAGTAATGCTTCACAGAGCAACTGGAACCTAATCTTTCTCTTCAACGTGTCAGATAGGTTTGAACCCATGTTCTCCCTCTCCCTGAGGTTTGCTAAAGTGGGTAACAGCTTCCCCTGAAGAGATAAGCTTACACCAGTACAGAATAGTTTGCAGGCTGATGAATTCTTCAAGACATACAGCAGATAGATTCGAAGGGAATAGGCTCTCTGCAGTAAGGGGATTTAATTCCACCTGAATTGTATGGACATCTAATCTTTTGATGGTGTGATTTCAGCAAAAGGAGTCACCTATTTTCTGGAGAGAAATACCCAGGAACCTTATCTCCTGTCAGAATGCTAAGCCAGAGTACCCAGGGGTACTTCCTTAGTGGCTCTCTTTTTGCTGTCTGTTGTGATCTGGATTTTGCACAGTCTTTCAAAGGGGGCTTCTCACATATTTTATAAGAAGCCCTGGCAAGTAATTCATGGCTGTGCCTTTCACTCTGTGCTCAGACTTCTAAAAACTGCACAGCACAATGCTCAACAGTGCAACATCTAAGTCTCAGGAAATCCCTTAATGAAATGCCATTAATACGTTCATATCGATGCACTTTAAATGGGCATTTAGAAGGGTTAAGTAACTAGTGAAGCAAAATCCCACAGCCTGGTACTTGGATGGAGTTCTAACATACTGTTATGCTTAAAAATACACAGATCAGAAATAAAGATGAGGGAGCAGATATATTTGAACAACTGTTCCTGAACAGAAATAATTTCCTTATTCTATTATAAATCTATTTATGATTACCTAAAAAGAATGTTGAAACATAAGACTTTCTAGAAATAACTTGGTTCCAAAGATGAGTCTCTGAAAAGACTCATTCTGGCTTGCACTCATCGAAAACCAAGGCACTCAATATCAACATTTTGGCAATTCTAATAACAAAGACTGCCAAAAATATGTTGTCTATCAAATGTACACGGAAGAAAGATGTTAGAATATTAAGAACAGATGTCACAGATATCTTAGAAAATACTCATGCTCCCAAAGTACTCCGCAAGGCAATATGTACAAAACCTCATTGAAAGATTAAATTAATGCATCTTGTTCAAATGCTTCCAAGTGTTGTATATGCATGTAAACTTACTTATAAAATATGTACTTTTAAAGATGTTAGAAAGAAGGATTGTCATAAATCAATAATGGCCTTGTATCTGAAAATTCAAGCTTTAACAGTTTGATAACATAGTAAAGACTACTTTTTATAGTCTGTTATTTAAACCATATCGTTCTGTGTGTGCAAAGCTTTCCAGTTATTGAGTATTCCTGTATTTACATTTTAATTATTATTCCACTGACAGTTTACAAAAAAAATTCCTATTGGAAAAACATGTAAACAACTTAATGAAAGGAATTTTTACAAAAAAAGTATCTTGTCTAAAATTAGAAGACTGCTTAGAAAACCTAAATATCTTGAGAGTTCATTTGAACAGGCACAGAACATACTTTCTTCCTCTGCTCTATTTATTTTCAGTATTGACAATGCTAAATAATAAAAATTAAGCCACTTTCCAAAGAGAATATCATGGTAACTGGCTGATTTATTTATTTGTTAGCATAGGAAGCATTGGATTATTTATAAATTACATTTATATCAAGAAAATATTTTAATTCTATGGCTAATGTTCCAGATTTCAGGTATAGAAAATCACCTTACACAACTTAAGCCAAAATTTTCATGTATGACTGATTCAGATGATAGAGTGTTAAAGAAAAAAAAAAAAAAACAAAACCACAACCAAACTCCCCCAGAAACCTACTGAATATTTTAAAACTCATAATAAAATAACGGGCAGTGACACCATGGGTGTTTCTTATGGGATGACTTTCAGGTAAACAGCCAAGAAACCAAACACAGTAGTTGAGCGAATGATTTTGATTTTTAAAATTTTCTCACTGAAATCAGAATTTTGCATCCATATGAGCACACAGAGCCAAACAAGACTTCTCTTTATTTTAAGTTTAAACCTGTCTGCATACTAAACCAAAGACTTTCTGAGATAAAAGACTAACCATTTGAGGTCAAAATGACAGGGCTGTGATGTTGTGGATGATATAAGAGTAATGTATAACAACATTATGATAAGACAGTACAATCCTAATGTAATAGCAGCAACAATATTTAAAGATTTAAAAATAAACAATATTTAAAGAACTTTCTGTTCTTTAAAAGGTTTGAAAAGTTTCTGTTCTTTAAAAGGTTTCTTCTGACAGGATAATGGGAACACAACGCTGAAAACAACACCACCACCACCACTTTCCAGGCTGAGGGCAGCCCCAGGTGCCCTCAGCCCTCACAGGACCTGGGCTGTGGAGCTCCAGTCCTGCCGTGGAGGCCAACTCGTCCCACAGCACAGCCTGAAAAACATGCTGCGTTCCCGTGACCACCAGCATGGGTGAGGGCTTTGTGGAAAAGGGGCAGATTTGAGCCTGTTTTCGTGGAATACACATTTACAGGCCTTGCCAGACCAGGCCCTAAACCACAACTCCTGTTTTGGTTTTTTTTTTAAGATCATCCCCTTACAATTAACAGATGTGAAGGCAAACTTGGCATGTACGGATGGCTTAATTTTTTTTCTCCCTTCGAATAACCTGGTTATATCCAGTTTCCGCAGCAATCCTACGAGTGTTTACATTGTTGGGGTTTTTTTCATTTCCCTCTTTTATTAATAGAAAGCAGAGCCGGCGTGCCTGGTGCCCTGGGGAGGCCACGCAGAGGAGGGTGCTGCGCCGGGCAGTGCAAGGGGCGTCGCATGGGGTTATGTGCTTTGTTCATATATGCACACCCCCAGGGCCCCATTCCACCCTCCCTGGCTGAGCTCCAGGCCCAGGCTGTCAGCCAGGGAGAGTACAATATCTTCAGGCTATGGCTCATTTAAAGTTTTTCCTCAGCTCTCACCGAGCTTTTCCTTGCGGCTCAGGGGAGTCCACACCATCTCCTCCTGCCTGAGGCAGCCCCAGACCTGCTGTCAGCCCAGTCACTGCTCCAGTTCCTGACACCGGGGCTGTGCCACCCTCACAAACACAATCCCCCAGTCCCTGGCTGGGGGAAGACTTTCAGGGAGTCACTCCAGCTTTCTGTGTTTCCCTTCCTCTTAAGCTCCCTAAGGAGGGTCTGATAATTAATTAAAGTATCATGAAAAAACTAGATATTTAATTACACGATTAAGTCAGTTAGCCTAGCTTGACAGAACAGCATAAATCCACAGAAAAATGTGTTTGTGTTGTAGTTAAGCTGTTACTCAGAAACTGAAACAGGCCAGCTATATTCCTCAAGCAATAGGAAGAGAAGTAGGATCAGGCAGGGTTACGTACACCTGTATTGTCAGTAAAAATATCAAAAGACATTTTCAAAACCTCTTAACATACAGCCTTTGTCATGGTTGGTTGCTCTACTGACATGAGGTTCCACTACCTAGCACAACTTCGTTCGTTAGCAGGACTTCAGTGCTAACGAGCCTCCATTGCCCTGGCAAGCCCAGCCAACTTTCTGGGGTACAGCCTGGTGCCACACTGGTGTCTCTAATAGTGTTACACCAGGAGTGCACTAGCTAATTATACAAAAAGCTAGTTACAATTTTCAAACCTTAAAGCAAGTTCCAAACAAGGCCATTTTTGTGAAAGAAGAAAACAAAATGGGTTTTTCTCTGCTTTAGGGTTTAAAGTTACTATGGCAGTCTTGAACGACTGTCATAACAACAAAAGCCACAAAATGTCTTGTATGGCACAGCTCTGCAGTAGGGAACAGGGTGATCATGGGGGAACATCGACTCTCCAGAGAAAAGCACAAATTGGGACTTTCCTGAGGTGTCTTTGCTCCATCAGACAGCACCTGGCTTTAAGCACCTAGTCCCAGTCACAAACAAAACACTCCTGGGCAGATGAAACAAATGGCAACACAGATTCACTGACCCCCCAAGTCTCACAGTTGTTCCAGCTGTTCCAAAAAACACTCTTCTCCTGGCAGGCTGTGTGCCAGAATCAGTATTGCCTGTCCTCACATAGCTGGCATAAAATCACAAAGGCAGCATAACCATCACGCTGCCTGCTCTGGCTACATAGGCAATAGGAATAAGTTGTGTATCCACATAATATTCTGGTTTAATTGGTTATGTTGGGTAATCCTGTATTATACAGCACCAGTATTAATAATAGTAAAACCATAACCTGAAAAAAACATTTCCTGCTGCAGTGGCAGGCTGTAATCCTTCATTAAGTCTCCTGGTTTTCAGCTGGCTGGACATGGCCCCGTGGTCCTTGATCAAAGACCATGTACAATGTATTTAAATGCAAACTGATGCAGGGCAGCCCTGTGACATATAGCACTCCTACAAACATCCTCTTATGTTACTACTGCAGATATCCATCTCCTGCACTGTCCGGGCAACATAGTACGGATTTCATATCGAGTTCTGTGATAAAGTGTAATCTGACTCTCACATCTCCTCTACTCCCACCAGTCAAGCTATTTACTTAGACATCAATTTAGCAGGGAACATAAGTATTAAGTACAGCCTAGGTTAAAGAATCAGTGTCATGCTGTCCTTCCTGACACATCTGCAAAAGGTGTTCTAGGCTTTCATCCTGATCTCTACTTCACTGAGTCTTAGAGCCTCCAATTGTTTTGGAGGTATCCTTTCTTACACACCAACACACAAAAGAGAGCACACCAAGTTCTCTGGAGCACTTGCCTCCAAAGCTGCAGCAGAGAATTATGGACCACATACAGGTTAAATAGATGTGACACAGACTGAAATACAAGCTGCTGCTCTCTCCAGACCTATGAAACTTTATCTCTTGTCTGCCTGTTTTTAAAAGATAGGAAACGTGCAGTTAGGGTGACAGTCTCCCACAAACCCAGTCCACCAGTAAAAGCATAGTCTGATCTCTTCAGCACAAAACAAG